TTGTTTGGCGGGTCCGGGCTGGGGATTCGAACCCGCCACCTTAGGTGTACGTGGCTGGCACCTTAGCCGGTTGAGCTATAGGCGCCGAGCCCAGTATATTTCTTTAAAGTAATTACAATATTAAAAATACAGCCACATCAAACATGAGTAAGCATTTGTATTCAAGATAACATAAAACTGTATTCTATTCTTAAAGCTTCTCATATGGTGTAGCATTCGATTGACCATTATAAAAACCCTACTCACACAGAACCAGTTACCACTAAATAAACCCTTCAAAGGGAGTCTAACATGGATCAAACATAAATCTATTAGAATGGCATACAGAGTTCACATTATTTTGTTTATGCCAATAAGCAGATCACTTCTTACTATAGAATCAGTCCTAAAAAGGGTGGAATTAATTAAATTAAAATATGTAGTTTAAATGCAACTTGAAATTAAATGAACTATGCAGTTAGACATAAGAAAATCTGGGAAGTAACTCATCAAAACATTAGAAGTGAATATTCTGGGGGTGGCAGGGACGGGCAATTTTCTAAAACTTTATTTTATTATATACTTCATACCTCTCAAAGTATAACTTTATTATTAACAAAATATTTAGGTAATAAAAAATACACTTCAGAAATCTTGTGTTATATTTGGGGATAATGAAAGAGTATTAATGTGTGTGTGTGTATATTTTATTATTCTCTATCCCGATTCACCACAAGGTTCCACATGAAAGTCAAATACCTAGCTCTACCTTGTAACATACGTTTATAATTTAAATTGGCCTTTAAAAGCAGAGTCCTACTTTTGAGAAAAAAAAAAAAAAGGAAGTCCATCACACACCAAGTATATTACCTAAGAGTGGAACATACTTAAAATTTTAGTATAAACTCCACAGCAGTGCTTCTGTGTTAGATACTTTATGATTTTTATTAAGTGTAGTTCACTCTAACAAAGCTATCTATACGTAGGAGAATGCTCTAATAGCAATTTATTAATTGATGTGTTTCAAAGACACTTTCTTAAAAGATTATGATAAGCACATGTGGTGTTTTACCCACTTTCAGTTTCATTTCGCTTGATCATGCCTTGGCATTCGGCTAAGATAGTCTCCTTAAATGATGTCACCAGGGCATTTACACAGCATTCCATGAGCTGAAATATATAAAAAGTTAGTCAAGACTACTATAAGCTTTATAGCACAAATCTATTCCACTTTGCAAAACCACATTGTTCAAAAGGAAGTAATTAAGCATACTGAAAGTAGATTCTACTTACCTTCACTACAGGATTATTAAAAAGGGATACTCTACATTAGATTACCAAAGTACATTTCCCCTTAAGGAAAAAGCTATGAAACTTAGGTTAGAAATTTAAACAAAATTAAAAAAAAAAAAAAAAAAAGAGAAATTTTTTAAAAAGTCCCCCCAAGAAAGGGAGAAAAAAAACCCAAAGTATACAAAACCAAAATGAAAAAACAAATCTTGATTAACTCTTCCTATAACTCTTCCTATTTGGAGAGACCCTATATAGGAATTAGATTCTAAAATTCTGTAAGTAGGAATAAATTCATTCAACATACCATTACTGGATGCCTACTATGTGCAGGCATCAAACAAATGTTAGGAGACAGATAAGAATGAGATGTAACTGCTGTTCTAGAAGAGATCGCTGTCTAATTGAGGGTGAGGAGTGGGGTAAACCTAAAGTGCTAAATACAATTTAGTTAAGTGGCATTATATGCACATACACACATATAACAAACAAAAAACAAGTTAAGAAACTGCTTTTTTCTGGCATAGTTAAAAAGAGGCCTCATTCACAAACTGGTGTCTAAATTGGATCTTGAAAAATAGTTTAGGTCCTAAAGTAAGGATTAAGTATTATAATACAAAACTGAAAATGGTAGGGAAGAGATAGACAGTGGAAGAGAAGGCTAGAACGTTAAGCTGGAATCAGAGTATGAATGAAAATCTACGATTGGGATTTTATTCTATAGGTTGAAAAGGAAGAACCAATGAATTTTTTTTTTTGAGACAGTCTCTCTTTGTAGCCCTTGGTAGAGTGCTATGGCGTCACAGCTCACAGCAACTTCAAACTCTTGGGCTTAAGCGATTTTCTTACCTCAGCCTCCCAAGTAGCTGGGACTACAGGCGCCTCCCACAATGCCTGGCTATTTTTGAACCCACCAGACTTGGTGTAGGTGGCTGATGCCATAAACACTGTGCTACAGGCACCAAGCCAATGGATTTTAAACAAAGGATAAGTATAGTGAGGTTCTCCTTCTGTCAAGTCCTCCTTAAAGACCAGTGTAATGGCAGTAGGCCAGCGATATGAAACAAGTGGTAGGAAGACAGCAAAAGAAGGCAGGATCTAGTGTTCTAGGAGGCTATTAGGAAGATCCCAAATGGGGTTGAAAATTTTCATACCTCTTACTACAGAGATCAAATAAAATATACACGGTGTGAGCATTGAAGCAAGATGCGCTACGTCTCATAGTATATCCCTTCTGAAAAGCATGCATCTATTTATAGTATATTAAGGGAGGGAATTAAATTCTCTACCTCAACCACTGGGTAGACTGATTCTATACTAGCTCTGAAATAGGTTCAATTAAAAATGCCTACATTAAGCAGCAAAACCAGACTAAGGATAGGTAAATCTAGCTATCTGTAACTAACAGAGAAAAAAGAAAAAGTGCAATGTAAATAAGCTCTAAACTACTTCATTGAAAACTGTGACTTCAGGACAGGCATGGTGGCTCACACCTGTAATCCTAGCACTCTGGGAAGCAGAGGCAAGAGGATCCCTTGAGCTCAGGAGTTTAAGACCAGCCTGAGTAAGAGCAAGGCTCTGTCTCTACTAAAAATAGAAAAAAAATTAGCCAGGTATTGTGGTGGGCGCCTGTAGTCCCAGCTTCTTGGGAGGCTGAGGCAGGAGGATCCCTTGAACCCAGAAGGTTTCAGGTTGCTATGACGCCATGGCACTCTAGCCTGGGCAACAGAATAAGAACTCTGTCTCAAAATAACCAACCAAACAAAAAAAACTTCACTTAAACATTTATCTTGTTTAGTGGTAATCTAAATTTTGCAGATCAAAAATGTAGACCAGTGTGTTTCAGAATGTATGTCGCAAGATCAGGTTTTTGTTCTGTTTTGGGTTTTTTTTGAGACAGAGTCTCTATCACCCAGAGGTTGAGTGCTGTGGCATCATCATAGCTCACAGGAACCTCAAACTCTTGGGCTCAGGTGATCCTCATGACTCAGCCTCCCAAGTAGCTGAGACTACAGGTGTCTGTGACAATACTTGACTAATTTTTTTCTATTTTTAGTAGAGACAGGCTCTCATTCTTACTAAAGCTGGTCTGGAACTCCTGAGCCCAAGCAATTCACCCAACTTCGCCTCCCAGAGAGCTAGGATTACAGGCATGAGCCAGTGCACCTGACCCATGAGATAAGTTTTAATGGCTGTGACCAGCTTCATAAAAAACCACAAAGAACAAATGAAACATTATCAGAGTGCACTGCAAGTTATAACAATGAATATTATTCTAAAATCTTCATTTCAGCTATGTACAAAATAAATACAGTATAGTAACCCACAATATAAAATTTATTTCTTATTGTGGGTTACAAAGAGAATTTAAAGGACAGGCTTAAATAAAAGGTTGTTAAATTGGTTTCTAACTAGAAAGGTTAAATGAATTATAACAACAGGTACCTTTTAGTAAGCACTTACTTTGTACCAGGTGTTATGCTAAATGCTTTACATAGATGGTCTCATTTAACCCACATGACAACCTTATAACATATATATTTCCTTTATGGGGACATAGGCTGAGAGTGGTTAAATAACTTGCAAACATTGCATAGTTAGTTCTTAAGGTCTAGAAGTTAAAATCTGAGGCTAGGTAATGTAACTCCATAGTCTCTAACTTTTCTTACTACACTAGCACAGCCTGTATACGTAACTAATGGCTGTATGCTCAGAACTGAGTTAAACATTTTATTTTATTTATTTTTTGGCGGGGGCTTGGTTTGAACCTATCACCTCTGGTATATGGGGCCAGTGCCCTACTCTTTGAGCCACAGGTGCCGCCCCTGAGTTAAACATTTTACATAATAGAAATACAAAACATGGTTCATACCCTCAGTGATCTTACAATCCAGTTAGAGATTACATGCCTAAAATATGAGGATGCTTGATATGTACAGAGGTATATGAAAAGAGGTTCAACTTCACTAATAAGGCAATGGAAATAAATGCATCACTACACTATGAACTTTGCAAGGACAGAGACTGTGCTCTGTCCACAGCGACCCAGTCACGGCCTCACATACAGCTAGTCAGTGATAGGTAACACAACAAAGCCGTCTATGATCAGGCTACTAAATCTAGTGGTAGAAACTAGATTAAGTACTATGGGGATTCAAATAAGAGGAATTGATGAAAGCTAGAGAAGACGGGTTATATAAGGATCCTTATTGAGGCAGAAAAGTAAAACATGACTAAAATGAATTCAAGAAAAAAATGAACAGAATGAGTTATGAAGGGTCTTAAAAATCAGGGATATGAAATAATGATAATCTAATTTTTGAATAAAGAACTAAAACAACACTGAAAGTGATGTATTTGAAAGATTAGCCTCCCCATGACTGCATTAATGTACATAGTATGATTTAATAAAAAGAAAGAAAGAAAGAAAGATTAGCCTGAACTCACAAGAGAAGAAATAGAAATGGTCGATGATTAGAATAAAGATGCAGACTAGCTCAGGCAACACAGTGAGACCTTGTACCTAACATGATTTTAAAAATAAATAAATAAATAAATAAATGAAAATATGTCCAGCCTCATTAATAAATTTTCAATGTACATAAAATATTTTTAAATCTATGATACCTGGAGATTGGCAAAAATTAATAGGCTGATAAAACCCAGGTCAATAAAAGTATGGATAAACTCATTTCTGAAAGTCAGTTTGGTGTTTAGTATGTAGCAATCTATAAAAAGTTCACACGCTTCTGGGCCAGGTGTGGTGACTCATGGCTGTAATACTAGCACTCTGAGAGGCTGAGGGGAGTGGACTGCTTGAGCTCACAAGTTCAAGACCAGCCTGAGTAAGGGCAAGACCCCGTCTCTAAAAAAATAGCCAGATATTGTGGTTGGTACCTGTGGTCCCAGCTACTCAGGAGGCTGAGGCAAGAGGTTTGTTTCAGCTCCAGAGTGTGAGGCTGCTGTGACCTATGACACCACAGCAATGTACCAGAGGCAAAGATGTGAGTCTCTGTCTTGAAAAAAAAAAAACAAGAAAGAAAAATGTTCATTACCAGGAGCATTCCATTCCAAGAAATAGCCAAGTGTGAAAAAAGATGATAGCATACAAGGACATTGCAAGAAGCACTACTTATAAGCAATAAAGCATAAACGACGAGAGCCGTCAGGACTGGTTAGGAATATTACTGAATATATGTGTGTGTGTTTGCTAGTGTCATAAATGTGTTTAGAATTTTAAAAAGTATAATTTCATAAATTTCTTTTAAAATGCTAGAACACAAGGAAGGGATAGAAGAAGAGAAGGAAATAGGGAGGGAAAGAGGAAGGAAGGAAAACAAAAGCAGCAAAAAATAAAGGCCAAGAAAGGAGGAAAAACAGAAAGAAAAGGGCTGGGCTCTTGTAGCTCAGTGGTTAGGGTGCAGGCCACATGTGGAGGCTGTAGGGGCAGGCTGGTGGGTTCGAACCCAGTCCAGGCCTGCTAAACAAAAATAAAAAATAACCAGGTGTTGTGGTGAGCACCCACAGTCCCAGCTACTAGGGAATCTGAGGCAAGAGAATCACTTGGGCCCAGAGTTTGAGGATGCTGTGAGCTATGATGCTACCAGCACTCTATAGAGGGCAACAAAGTAAGACTCTGTCTCAATTAAAAAAAAAGAAAGAAAAAAAAAGGAAAAAAAGAAAATAGATCAACCAGACAAATACTGTAAAATGATGATTGTTGAATCTGGAGGCTGGGTAGGAGGTTGGGGTTCAGGATACTATAATATTTTCTCTGTGCAACTATTTGAAAACTTTAATAAGGAAGGTTTTTGTTTTTTTTTTTTGAGACAGAGCCTCAAGCTGTCCCCATGGGTAGAGTGCCCTAGCATCACAGCTCA